TGCAGAATGGAAACTCAAACCAAATTTATAGCAATAGTGAAATCGTTTCCAATGGTCATTCAACGTACGAAACTAAAAAGGAACAATAACAATAGATGTTATCATGCTGTTATTTTTATAATGTTGGAAAAACTATTTCTCCTAATTCATTGGTCAATTATCTTTCTGGCTTTCATCGTATTTGCTCTATAGTAGTGCACTAGCATAATTAGTAGGTTATTTATTTTTATGATACTTGGTGCAATAAATTGCAATTTTTCAGTTTATGTGTATTTCTGTTAGAGTTGTGATTCTAGCAGAGCAAATACTAACAGTACTTTCACTGTGTAACACATACCAGTAAAATCTAATGTGCCCTAGTGCACATGGACTTTGAAATGCCTTGCTTGGAACTTTCAAGAAAACAATGGAAGTTATTTATTGTAACAAAATAAATTAGACATTGATTGTGAATTATCTCAAGCACTGATCTCAGAAAAACACTGAAACATGCATCTTGAAATCATTTAAAATCGTTGAACCAGATTTAATGATGAATAAGCGTAACTTGTTACCGAGTGATAGTTATAAAACAAATAAACTTATGATTTACTGAAATCAATATTTGCATTTAGGAATCTTAAAAATAAAAAGATCATGTAATAAGTGAGAAGTAACATGTAAATTATGTATTTTTATATTTCGTGCTTGATGTGGAAACAAAAATCAACATATCTAAGGTACATGTAAATGCATGTTTTAATCGTGTTGCTGGTACAAGGAAATCTTAAAGTTTGTTTATTTACTGTCCCTCACTGATTCAAATGAAGTAAATATTAAGAAACGTTTTTATGAAATTTCTATTCTAATAAATTCAATGACACTGTAAATATTTATTTTCTATATCATCTTTTTAATGAGTATCATGTTCATTGGCACACGTCTTTGACCTGTTGAATTGTTGAATCTGAATGGAGATAGCTTGTCATGTCATGTGAAGTTTTTTTGTGTGTGCAATGAAAATTGGGTTTTAATGCTTTAAAAAAAAACACTTTTCTTTGTTCACATTGGAGTTGGCAACAATGTAACTCATGACTGAAATAAAATTACATGACTGAATGAAACTAAGACGCAGACACAAATACTTTTTGCTGGCATTTTAACGCATTATATTTATAAGGTTATCATGAGAATACTGCAAAGTATGAACTAAGGCGGATGTGTGACCTGACATATTGCCATGTGACCTATATTGTGATCATATACTTCTTTAAATTTGTACATACTTTGTAATGTAATGCATACTTTGTAATGTAATGCATACTTTGTAATGTAATGCATACTTTGTAATACAACCTTGTATTCTGCTCTGAAGGACATGAAACTGTTTCATCTTTATTTTATTTTTTTAATTAGTGTGTAATATTTTTTTGATAATGGCCTTATGATAATTTGCTAGAAACTTGTTTGTACATTTCATTTAGATGATCCAAGTTTACATGCTAAACTGAATAAAGTGATTTTTGAAATATCTATTTGAATCATGGTTTTTAAACTTGTGATTTTGCATTGAATCCATGCGAGTCATTACAGCCTTTTGACACTAAATAAACACCCACATTTTTTTCCATCACATCGTTGGATCTTGTGTCCATTTGAACCACACATGAACTGAATGTGTTCCTGTTTGTTTATTAATTGCTATGCAAATTAACTGAGCAGATTAATTGAAAACTAATAAAACTATACTCCTAATAAAAGATTTGTGTGGTCCTGGGATGTTTATTGATATTTTGAATCACTTTGTTGCATTAGTTAAGATGTGTGATGTAATTAATATGCAAACTCCAGATTATTATTAATTGATTTATCTCCATATAACTGTTAATTAGTTTGCAAATTAACTAATTAATATGTATGGCTGTTATAATTTTTATTAAATATTTGTCTACAAGCAGCAAGTATGTACAGTTTTTACAATACAAACAAAACATGAAAACAGATTAAGTGAAAGTTATCAGATAATCAATGGTGTATTTATACATGTACATTGTTTGTATCAAGATTCAACCCAATAGAGCAAACCATTCTAAACTGAATAAACAAGCTAAAAACCGTTAATTAGTAAAATCTGGATAAACTATGTACATATTAATTAAAAATATAAATGTTTCACCATAATTTAGGTTTGATTGCTTAAACAAAGCTAACCTTTGATTATGTAAATTGTTGGAAAACATGCATGGGTTTATTTTCTAGACTATATAGAACGGCTTCAGACTGAACCACTCGAGAAGACATCATGTTTATGATTCCTTGTCATATGTGAGACTATACCCAACCCCACAGGGTTATATATCTCAAACTTAGCCCAAACTAATTAGGTCTGTGCATAGTCCTAAAACATCTATTTACAAAGTTTCATTGAAATGCAATGATTAATACTGAAAAATCAGTGGAAAAGCCAAAACTTTACTAATTATACAAATTAGGTAATTAATATGTGGGGATATTACCCCAAAACTTATCCAGGTCTGTATATTGTCCCATGACATCTATTTATCAAGTTTCATTGTAATGTAATGATTAGTACTTGAGATAACAGTGGAAAAGCCGAAAATTGATTAATTAAAATGCATGTTTTTTTTACCCAAAACTAATCAGGTTTGTGCATTGTCCCAGAGTATCTATGTGCCAAGTTTCATCAAAATCCAGTGAGTGGTTCTTTAGATATCAGTACAACAGTCATGAAACAGCTATAAATTAGCTAATTATCATGCAAATTAGGTAATTAATATGCATGGATTCAAATCAAAAAGTAAGTCTTGGCCATGAACTTCTATGCATCAAGTTTCATCAAAAACCAACATTGGTTATCAGAGATATATCAGTGGAACAGATGGACACACACACATACAAACACACTAACTGCAAAGACTCCCATTGTGTGCTTTGCACATGAGTAAAAAAGTCATTAAAATGATGATCATATATTTTTTGAATTGTTTGTATAAAAATACCTGACTCCTGTAATTGTATACTGCCACCTATGGCCAATACGGGTACATTGTGAGGGCGCTGTATAGAAAAAGCTAATACAACTGTACTGTAAAATACTTTATTTTTCGGCCATATTTTTATTTTCCCTTGTTTCGCGAACCCGTTGAATGAACAGGAGCCAAAAATGAAATAAAAAAAAAATTCTATTTCAGCGTAATTTTTTGCGCCCGTCGACTTTTTCTAATGGAAAACAATAATTAATTGTATTTTTTTTTTGCCCTCCTCAAAAAAATTGCCTTATAAAAACTCGAGAAACAAGGAATAAAAAAAGTATGGCCTTAGCTGGAATTAATTTTCGCTGAAAACACTTCTTGGATGTTTCGTATGGAATTTATTCTCACTGATTTCTGACAAGTTGAATGTAAAATATAGGAAAAAGGGTATATTCATCAGATTTTATTTTTGCTAAATCATTCTAAAAGCAAAAATAATTATTAGTAGTTATTACCACAAATGTAAAATGCAGATAATTGCTTGCCAAACATTATTGGTATATCGGATTATACCATCATTGGGATCAATATTTTGAACTATGCAGCTGAAAATAATCTATAAATCAACAAAAGTATTTTCATCTGTGAAAGGGGTATCATATTTGCAAATTAAAATAAACACACTAGCAGAGCAAATACAGTACAAACGTTTTGCTACATTCAGAGTTCTGGAGGTTTTGCTGAATAAACAAACATATACATTTATGGCAGCCAAAATATGTTTTATTTGTTGATACCATAAATAATAATTAATACTACAAAAACATGCTTTTAAATGTAGACAGTATTGAGACAAGTTTTACCTGATACAGATATTGGATTGAAACAAAATATTTGCATAACTGAGCTGAACTAGCACATTCACAGCGTCAAAATGATGAAGGGCGAGATAAAACCATGCAAATCACATTTACCATCTTTCCTCTGACAAACAATCATAGTGTATGTTCTTTACAGGCTGTCATCTCGAAAGTGACCTATAACAAGAGTTCTAATTGGCTGCTTATTCTGTAAGACTTGAAACACGATTTGCATAGGTAGTTCATCCGATGTATTTTGTGATGTTTGCACCATAAACATCGTCCATCTAAGAATAAAAGTTATCACAGCCTCTATCTACATCAGACATGTACCTGCCAAATTTTAAGGGTGGTGGTCATGGCGACGCATCCTGTTTGTTATGGGACTCGTAGCAACATACATGTGTGTAAAATATATTATTTATGTGAAATTCAAAAACATGTTGCATGGCGACCACTGCCCTTTAATACAAATTATATAACGTTTGAAATTGAGTAACATTCCACCCAATATGCACCCTCATTGCCTAATCTATAAGCATACACAATTTTAAAGTGCATTATCCCTAATTCAAGAATTTTGAAAGTTGTTATGGAGTCTCTAAGTGGTTCTGTTGTCATGGAAATGAATTAGAAAAAAGTATGCAGATCAACAAAGGACAATGGCAAGTATGGAAAATTGGCATTATAAGTCAACTCTAAGCATGAATGGCACACAAACAAAGATATTTCAGTTTCTGGGTTAGTGTGAACTTTCAACTTCTAAGGATGACAATTTGTTTTCTTTGGCCTCATATAATAATTCCTAAATATGACTTATGTGAAATTATACAGAATTGATATATTATT